ATGTAAAGTTGCTGTTTTAATAAAATACAATGCTCACAAGTTTTACAATAAAAGAGAAATAAATAATTTTAATGCATACAATAAAAAGATGATATTTTGCTAAAAATCGACTTTCCATTATCCTAATTTCTTATTCTAATCTTTAAACCTTTTATTTACTCTTTTATTTCAAAATAACTTATTTAAATAAATAATTTATTTCAATTTTTTTTAACATTTGTAGACTTAAATGTTTACTTAATTTAAATAGTTTTTATTAACTTAATAAAACTTTCACTGTCATTACATATACAAAAAATTCTGCAATGAGTATCTTAATTTTAAAAGTCACATTGTTAATTACTATTCCTAAAATATATATTATGTGAAATCACTTTATCAATAGATGTATTAAAATATAAATGAATGATAAATTTATCACGTTTATTTGATAAATATGCAAGTTACAAGGTGTTAAAACTAAAAAAAATTAAAACTTTATTTTTAATTTAAAAATTAAATTTAGTTAGCTGAACATTTTAGGAAAAATAGGAATTATTTGTAATAAAAAATCTACGAAGGATCATGTCTTTAAAACTCATGAATTATCTTCTGGTAAAATTTAAGTATGCTATGTGAGTCATTTAAGTGATATGAAGTGATATGCAGATGAAATTAAAATACTCAAATTACTAGCCAGTTTTTCTTATCTTAATAAAGAAATAAATAAAACCTGCAACTTAAAAAGGAATTGACTTTAATTGAAGATCAAGAAAAATAGAAATTAGAATTTATACAAATCGTTCAAAATTAGGTTTTTTAAGAATCACATGAATCGCATGTGATTAAGAGCCTGATTAGTAAAACATTTTTTACTCGTTTAAAAACTTGCCAATCTGGTTCTTTTTCCCATGTAAGAAGTTGGCAATAGCTTTTTTTTTTTGTATTGTGTTGTCACCTTGTAGAAATCGCTAATAAAGTTGTGAAGTCCCTATTTGGAAAAAAAAGGTGCAGTTAAAGGAAAAAAAGTAAATTATACTTTTCTTGCTTGAATCGTTTTGAGACATAAATTCAATTTTGTTTATTTACAACTCAAATAGCGTTTAAACATGCAGTTTTTTTTAAGAAACAAAAAAGGTATATCATCCCATTTGAAAAATGGTACAAAATATATCTTAATGAAAATTTCCGTTAAAAATTAAAATTTGCGTTATTGACTTGCTTATTTGTTTGACGCTATTTTAAATAAATTTGATATTGAAATATTTTATTGCCTGGTAACAGGTAATAGTATAATCCTATGATATCATTCAGTAGAAAGTATACTAAAATGCAAAATAATAATATTTTTTATTATTATTATTGATAGACGGATCGATGCACTATAAAAAAGTGCTTCTTCAAAATAGATCAAAAACATTTCAAGATGCAAATAAATTTTTAAAAAAACCTTTGTACTCACAATATTGAGCACAGTGACGTGATCAAAGCAGCACAAACTTATTTGTCTCAAAAGTGACGCATTTTGAATAAATTGTTGCATAAACGAGTGTGGGTATAGTCTAAAATATGAGTATATGCTAATATGAGTATGTCACTTTTCTCAATAATGAGTCGATGGAGTTTTCAAATTCGATTATATTTATTTCGGAGCTATTATGACATTTTTTTGCTCAATTTTGAGAAACCCTTTTTTTACAGTATAATTTTTCAGAACAGAAAGTTTTAAAAAAATATGATATATAATAGAAGATGATTTATTTTGTAAAATTTTTATCATTATATTATCAGAGATTTATTTAATTGAGTCAGAAATTACTTACGTCGGAATCATGTGAGAAGCAGAAATTCTTTTAAAGAAGTTTATTTTTTTAAGCTAATTTAAATAAATCTATCACTGATATATTTTATTGTTAGATAACAGAATAAACATACGATTTCGTTCAATGGAGAGTACTAAAATGCAAAAAATAATAGTAATTTTTTAAAATTTATTTAGTTGATTGATGGGTCGATAATTTTTCTAAAAGGAAAATCTCAAAAATATGCTGCATAATAAAAAAGTAAATCATTTTTCACTCACTCAAATCAATGGCCTCGCTGAAATCAAATCAACCTCGTCCACAACAGTTTAATCACTGTTTTAGGCCAGGGGGGTCCTGCAGATTAAAGATCCACAATTTCACGACCAACAACATCATCGGGTAATGTGGTCAGCATTGCGCCCAAGTCGCATTTACTTCCCAGGCAAGCGGATACTCATCGATCTGAAGCTGGGCGGGCTTCAAGCACCCACTGAGGATCGAACCCCTGCCCATCACATTGACAACTCTGTGTCTAAATTACTATATAATAGTGGGTAATTTTTTAAAAATCAGTTGATATTTAATATAAAATTCTAAAGCACGATAAACGTTGTTTCATAACACATTGAGTGTGATTATAAGTACGTGTATATATAAGTACGTGTGATTATAAGTAAGTTATTGAGTGCGTGTTTTTTTTTTTTTTAATTTTGCAAAGCCGGAAAAAAAAACGATTTTATTGAAGTCAATAAAAGTACCAGAGGGAGCCACGTAAGTTGTAGGAAAAAAATAAGTAAATACCTATATTACATCCCTTAAATGTTTTTCAAAGATTTAAATGGAGTCATATATATTTTATTCCAGTCTATATTAGAATGTTTAACTTTAAAAAAATATCGAATTGATTAATACAAAGAGTTTTTTTAATTTTTATTCTCTAATTATTAAAAAATAATTTATTCAAAATTTTGATCATTTTACTTTTATAGTTGAAATTTGGAAATCAGGAAATGCTTTAGTTAATAAAGACTGAGTGTCTAAATATAAAGATAAATGAAACATTTAGAAAAAATTTTAAAAAATACACAGAGTTAAAATTTATATTATGACAAAAAAGTAAGTCTTTGAATATTGTTTCATTATTTTCTGAGATAAGGTGCATTAAAGCTGGCTATTTTAACAAATGTAGACGCAGAACATGAAAGGTCAATCCCCAACATATGTGCCACACACTGCAGCATGGCAAAGTGGCACATGAAGACTTATCGATAAATTAAATGAACAGAAAAATGACAATGTAGCCTTCAGGATTTTAGTCAAGATTCATTGAACCCGATTGCTGAAATTAGATTGAATTTTAGAAAATTGTACTAACAAGCAAGGTTTTAACTTACACTATTTAGCTGTCATTTATTGTAAAAGGTTTTAATCAACATATGTTTGTGCTCAAATGTTTTCTATGATGAATCAAATGAAACAAAAATGTTATTTAAAATTACCTGATATGCACCAAAAACACTTAATTTTGTTAGTATGATAATGACTACTCTAATAAAAATTACCTGGCAAGAAAATCAATAAAAACCACAATTATCTATTACTGACTGTTTAATAATTACTTAGAACTTAAATTATCAAATTATTCGTTTTTATTTTATGCATATACTAATAAACTGAACGTTTAAAACTCTTGAAATGTGTGTTTGTGCTAAAATGTTTTCTATTATGAACATAACAAACTTATTATAAACATAAAAACTGACGTGCATCAGAAAAGCTGAATTTTATTCGTATAACCAATTACTCATCCTAATGTGCTAGATGATTGGGGGGAAAAAATTGAAAAATAAGTAGGAATTTTTTTTTCATTCAGAATTATGAAAAGAACCGTAATCAATCAGTAATTATAGTCGATTATTAATTAATTACGGATTTCTCAAAGAAAGTATTATTTAGAACTTAATAAATCAAGTTATTCAGTTTTATTTTATGCATAACTTAACAAACAGAATTAACTTTAAAACTGCTAAAAGATCGATTCAACATGTGACTGTGATCGAATGTTTTCTATTATGAACATAACAAAACCAAAATATCGTTTGAGATCAACTGGTACGCACCAAAAATGGTCAATTTAATAAATACATATCATCAATAACCAATCCTAGTAAACTAGATGACCTTGCATAAAATAAATTAAAAAAATCACCTTAATTAATTACTAATTGTTTAACCATTATTTAGAATTAAGTGCGTCAAGTTATTCATTTTCACTTTACTCATAACCTAATCAATTGAATCTTTAAACTATTTATAAACAATAAAACGTAAGTATGCATTTTTGTATTATTAATTATATTTATTTGCATTCATTGCATTATTAATTATATTAATTTTTATTAATTCTATTATTAATTATATTAATAATAGAATTAATCTCTGCTATTTAGTCATACAGAAAAGACGTGATATATGATGAAAAATAAAATTTTTTCTCATAATTAAATGTTTTAATACGTTGGAAAAATTGGAGATGGCAAGCATAATATATTTTTCTACCATAAATATCTCTCTTACCCAAAAAGTTGGCCACCCCTGAGATTGAACAACCGATTCTTAATTTTAAAAAAATCATACTGAATCTTAACTTTGCATCAAGAACAGTAAACATTTAAAAAAAAATTAAATTTCTTTTAAATTAAAGGAAGTAACAATTGCATTATTTAAACTTTTTTAAAGCTTTACTCTAATTTACACTTGAGCCGATCGTTATATTATGATATCTGGTTCACAAAAAAAAGTATCTTTTGAATAAAATAAATATGTAAATAAATTTACATGCAATAGCAGAGAAGGCAAATGGAAACTTTCAAGATCAAACCTTTTTATTTATGCTTGGCTGATATGCATGAATCGAAAATTTATTATCCTGTAGTAAATATTGAAATATATTCCTCTGTGCGATTCCCTGACCTTTCAGTTCCGTGTCGGCAAACGCTAGGTCAACTAATAGTGTCCATCAAAAGAGAAAATGTTTATTATTTTTTGTTTGACAGTGAGGAATGAAACCGGGTTTTTATTACCGTATTCCGGGAGATTTTCATGCTCTTTTTTAAATATCTGTCTAGCGTGATACAAAATTACTTCAGCGCAGCAGAGATGCACGCACATTTACAACTTATATAAGATCATACCATCTCGTCAAAAATCACTTCAAGCTTTCAGCTTCTAGCAACATGCATCTCTGTGTTCTTGCTTCTCTCTTGGCTTTGGTCGGTTTTGCAGCTGGCGCCCCAACGCCAATTCAAGAAAAAGATAGGCGTATTGGTGCTCTTTCAAGATCAGATAGGGATAGAATAGACAGACAGGACCAAGATGGTCCCTATACAGTTAAACCATATCAGTTTGGTTTTGAATTGGAAGACGGATTTGGAATGAGTCAATACCGAAGTGAATCTTCTGATGGCTCTGGAGCAGTTAAGGGCAGCTATGGTTATATGGATCCTTTCGGTGTTTACAGAAAAGTTGAGTACACTGCTGATGATAATGGATATAGAGCTGTAATTCGAAGTAATGAGCCTGGTACGGCCAATCAGAACGTTGCTGATGCACTTTTTATCGTTGAACCACCACCCGAAGGTGTTGTTAACCAAGACTTACAAGATGATATTAATCCCAGAAATGCTAAGGCGTAATTTCAAATCGATGATTCTTAAGAACTTTTCAAAGGCTAATTGCTCATTCTATTTGAACTAACACGAACACGTCGTTCTTTCCACGTGCTGCAGTATTGATATCAAACTGAACTGCGTCTTATTTTAGAAATAAGACTTTATTTATTTATTGAATGATATTTCTTATCGAGTGACGTATAATGTGATTACTTATGAGTATTGTGTGCAGTGTCTTAAATTTAAAGAGCAGCTATGTCAATACATGTACCCTCAATGTCTGTTTCTGCATTAAATTCTTATTTGAATCTGTTGTACGTGCCAATATTTATGAATAAATTTTAAGTGCTCGTAAACTATTTTTATTCATTATACTTTCAAAGTAATAATCATTATTTTGACTTGGTAGTTCATATTATTAGGTTTAGTTTCAGTTTTCTAACAATAGGTAATTACAAGATGCTTTGCACCAGATGTGGTTTTCTTTCAATTAGAAAATTATGATGGCAAAGGATTTGAAGGAGAAACAAAACTGTTAGGTAAGTACATTTTTTTATTTGATATGTATAAACTAAAAATCAATGTATGATTTAGGAATTTCGAACTCCCAATTTCAAGCAAGTTTCCTTAAAATTAACTAGTTTGTAAAAGTCTAGTTTGTAATGTTTCATGTTTGTAATAATATTTCACATCAAAGGATAACTGAACTTTATTTAACCAAAGTCATAATGATTTTAATTTCTAGTGCTTAAAGAGTTCAATTAAATCATAATTATGAAAGGAAACTTTATATCATTTCCAAGGGATTATTACCACAATCTACTTTTAAATAATTAATTGAGATAGCATTGTGCGCTGTTCATAGTTATGAATTCTTACTGATATCTCAATATAACATAAACAAACTAACCTAATCAGAATTCTCTCTATGCAAATGATTGTTTAAATTGTGAATGCGTCTGATGGTGAAATAATGAATCTCTTTAGTCTAAATATCGACAAGCTTCTATTGCATTTAAAACGAGAATTTAAACACGGCACTGACCCAATGAATGAATTTCACAAAACAAATCACGAGCAGACAAATCTATGCATATAATCAGTTTTTGTTTTCTTTTTTTACCCGTTAGTAACTGATAGAAGTGATAATTTTAGGATAAATTATCCAAACTTAAATATATGAGGAATTCAAACTTGTTTTCTTAAATTTAAATAACTACCAATAAAAATATAAGTGATAGAAATATACTTCATACATTTTTCCTCCATTTTAATTTTCCTTTCAAATATATGCTATGTTTAGTATTAAGAAATAAATAAACATAAATAAATGGAAAATATTGCTCTTACCAATTTCAAATTGAAATTTTTCTTCTACGTTTGAGAAAAATATACGCCCATAAGCGGCATAAGAAATATGTGACAATACTGCATGGAGAAAAAAAATGGTAAAATTACTTAATTTACGGCAATGGCATATTTGGTTACAAAATCATTTTTCTTATTACCAAACGTTGAATAAAAAATACAAGACTGAAAATTAAATTTCACCGAAGAAATGGTTTTCATAGAATGTTTTCATATAAAGTTACCAAATTTTACACTCTCTATCAAATTATATCACATATTATAAAACAAAATTAAAGTTAATTTTACCAAAATCATTACCAAAGCGCTTCCGTAAAAATTATCGAGCTTTTTGGTGTTCGTATGAAACCAGAGGCACTGTAAATTTTACTATTTTCTGGTAGTTTTGTCCAAACTTTTCTTCAGTATGAGAGTTAAATAGTTTGTTCTTAAAATACATTTATTAATCAGCAGAAATAAGGGTTGTTAGACTTATTGTGCTAAATTTTAATTTCTGATGCCGATCGATTCAGATAGTGAAATGATCCGAAATGAACGCGGGAAGCTGTTGGCATGGAAATAACGAACACGGAGGTGTGCAATAGTGGGAAAGCTTTTAAATAAATATTCTGAAAAAACAAAAGCTAAACATTAACAAAAAAAAAATTCCTTGGAAAAATTTACTATATTGCTAAAACAGAGGTATTTTTAACAGTGCATTGCTTTGTTCTCAAAAAATGATTATAAAATAGTAAAATCACAAATACTTTTTTTACAGAAATTTCATACTGTTCATACAAATTACTTAATAAAGTGCTTCTTTCACCAGAGTCAATAATATATATATTACAATAGAGTAATAATAATTATAGATTGATCGGCACAAGACATTAATTGGATAGCCAGTAATAGATTTAATAATTATTTTTCCAAGATGCTTCAGTGCTTAATTTTAATTGCGTTTAGCCACTCTGTATACATTTTTTTGCATATTGCAGTTAATTCTATCTAAGATGGAATCGTTAAAAGATGAATAAAATTTTGTTTTAGGCCTTTGTCCCGTCTTACGTAAGCGTACATTTTTATAAGAGTCCATCAATTAGAAATAATTGAGTGCTCTGATGAAACGTTAAAAGAAATGCACTAAAAAGGATATTTTAAATTTTTTCATTAATTTTGGTTCAATAATTTGACTGTTAATTTCATGAAATTGCTGAATTTAAAGAATTCGGAGATTATCTTGAAATTTTTTAATTATAGAACAGACAGGCGATAAAAGCTGTAGATCTTTCCTTCTTATACGTTTGATGACAGGGAGAAAAATCACATGACTCATTAAATAAACCAATAATTTTTTCCTCAATAATTGAGTGCTCTGATGAAACTTTAAAAGAAATGCACTAAAAAGGATAATTTAAACTTTTTCATTAATTTTGGTTCAATAATTTGACTGTTAGTTTAATGAAATTGCTGAATTTAAAGAATTCGGAGATTATCTTGAAAATTTTTAATTATAGAACAGACAGGCGATAAAAGCTGTAGATCTTTTCCTCTTATACGTTTGATGACAGGGAGAAAAATCACATTACTCATTAAATAAGCCAATAAATTTTTTTTACACTTTGATATAAAAAAATTATTTTATTTTATTTATTGCAATAAATGATTTCTAAATTTTACTTGCAATGCAATATAAATTCTTTTAAGGTTACCAAAAGTCCTCGATAGATTGCAGCACTAAACATTTTTACCTCTAAGAAAAGTTTTTATTTTGCAACTACCATTCATTTTAAAAAACCGCTATTTTTCGATATTTTTTAAAAATTTTATATTCAATATAAACTACTGTTTATGATATCATACTTTTTTCCCTTTTATGGGGGAGAGAGGGAAATATAATGAAGTTATCACATGCAATCATGTTCATTTTATTAGTGTGTTAAATTTTTTTTTTCTTTCTTCCGTGATTAGCAAAAAATGAAAATAAAATTTTTTTTTGCTAGTCTATAAATAAATAATTAAATAACGTAAGAATTTTATCTTCTATCTGTTGGTAATAGGGCAAACAAGTGATAAAAATCAGAACCTGCCTAACGAACTTGAAATGAAAAATAACTAGACAGGTAAAGTTTAGTGAGCAATTAAGATTTTATTACTGCAAGACATAACACTTGATAGGCGAATGTTATTATATAGCATAATATTTTTGACTATTTAAATAAATATTTTACAATTATTCATATTATTAGTACGCAATATTATTAATATTCATATTATTATTGTTCATATTATAATCATTCATATTATTATTATTCATATTATAATTATTCGTAATATTATTATCCAACGTCATCTCATATCTCATCTAAAATCAAACTTCGTAACTTCATTTTTGTCTTACCAATAAGTTTATGCCCTTAAAGATTCATGCCTCTGAAATAAAAGCTACCTTCTGAACTTAATTTTCATTTTTTAAACAATTTTAGAACCAGAAAGCTGCAATTTTGAAGGCAAGCAAAACTTCTTGAGAAACAAAAATATTAGTCTTATTTTTTATGCTTTATGCCTATAAAATAAAACCCTTTTTCTGAAATCTATTTTTATTTTTTGACGGATTTTGTGACAAAATTTCTTTAAAAGGACCATTTTTTCCCAAAACGGAAAATGTGGTACCATAAGTACTTCATTATTAGAATTTATTTTGCTCAAAAAATATAGTTTTGTCTAACTATAATATAAGCATTTATATTTTGATCTGAAGTATAATTAATTACATTGTGTTTTTATAAACATTATTTTTGTGTCTCGCGTTTTTGTTGCAGAGATATAATCATGGAAAATACAAGTTTGGGCAGAAGCAAGAGGAACAAAAAGTAAAACAGTTTACGTTTACTTTTTTGCAATAATTACGATTAGACGCAATAATTACGAAAACATTTTGAGGATTACTAAGTTTTAGCAAAAAAAAAAAAAAAAAAAAAAAAAAAAAAAAAAAAAAAAAAAAAAAAAAAAAAAAAAAANAAAAAAAAAAAAAAAAAAAAAACAGAAAATCGGTTCCCCCGAGAGTTATTACTCAGAAAATCCGGGAAAAACAGCTCCTCTCCGTGCTCTAATTCAATTTTTCCCAGAATCAGCTATAATGGTCATAAACCTTCTCTTTGGATCTTCTTCTAAAGTTTTTCTTCCATAAAAGTCTAAAAGTTGATTAATAGAAAGGAGCATTTTGTTTCGAAAATGTATAATTATTAAAATTTTGTGTAAACGCATTCTATTTAGGGGAGTATACTAATAATGCTGAAACATTTATTTTTTTGATGCACCTTAATTAACGAAAGTAAAAAGAAATTATGAACTGCTTCAGTTTTTTTTCCACAGAATATTTACATATGTATGTTTACACTGTGATAACTCTTAATACATATCTATGGCATACTTTTAATTTTAATTCTTTTAAAAAAATTAAAAACTTTTAATTTTTTGAAAAGTTAGTTTATTGTTTTTAATTCATCAAAAACTTTTATAACTCAAAAAGTATTCCTCTTAACGCTTAAACATTATTACAGCATACAACAGACATAATCTCAAATATTCCCAAAAAATTTCAAAGCGATATCATTAGTAGTTTCTTAAAAAAGGTACATTGAAAAACGAAATAAGAGGATTGCTGGATTGGAAAAATGATCAACTGTACTATAAGAAGTAGCTAAAATTTAAAATCATTCTTTCTGGGTTAATGGGCATTTTCTCTTACACACGAAAAAAATTTTTTGATATGGAGGAATTTAAAAAAAAATGTTTTAATAGAAACAAAATTTAAAAACTTAAAGAAAAAATTTACTTTTACCTGAATGTAGAGTTACAATTCAATCAATTTTATTAAACTCTTCCTTTAAATTTTCAGTTGAAATATTCCTATCGTTTGAGAAAAACCTTATAAAAAATAAGACTTTTTAATTTCTAATCAAAAAATTCTAAGAAAATATTAATTGAAGCATAAAATGCATCATATAAATCCATTCGCATAAATAAAAATGCGTAAAAATTTTATTCATTAAAAAAAATAATACACTAGAAAAAGTAAAAAGTGAAAGAAAAAAGAAAAAAGTGAAGAATTTATTATAAGAGGCTTTGAGCATTAAAAAGAAAGGATGAAAATCTTTCAAAACATAATTATTATAAAATTATTTATTTT